CTCTGATCTTAATACATTCGATTTTTGTTGGTTCTTGTAAGTTGCGTAGACTTTATGTGATCTCATTTTTTATATTTTTATATATGTTTTGGTGGTTTATAGATTTTAGTTTGACGAGTGACGTGAGTGGATGAAAGAAGATGTGGTTATGATTGGCTAATGTGTCCATTCCACGGTTGTTCTTCCTCTTTTTATCAACGACCATATAAGTGGCTACGCTTAAAATTAATTTCTAAGGTTTTGAATAAGAATCAGCTTAGAAAAATTATTATGAGGTCATATATAGTTTTATTTCAGTTAGTGTTTTTTTTTCTTCTTAAGTTCAACTCTATTTTATTGGTAGAATGATGTTTCTTGGTTTGTTTTCCACATGTTAAGATATTAAGGAAATAATTGAGATTGATGGAGTAGAAACCTAAACGTATTTGTGGTTCTGCTCGGTGTGAATACGACTAGCCAGGTTCCATGAGAGAGATAAGGCCATATAATTTAACTAAACTTACAATTTAAATTGTTTGTATACTGTTGCAAAATACATATATTTATCCTGTTATTATGTTGTTAGAAGAATGTGGAAGAGAAAACTAATGAAATGAATACAATTTGGAGTAACCTAATTCAAGGAAATATGTTTTTAGAAAACTAACTTAACGCTAGATGTTTTCAGTAATTTCATACTATTTAATCATAATAAGTTTTTTTATATTTGTATTTACTTATATCATTTTTTTTACTTTAATTGGTGAGCTAATTCAAAACGGTTAGAGTAAACCATTCATTTAGTTACGAATCGAACATTCGAATGAAACGGATGTTAGAAATGAATGGTTCAAGATAGATGTGGTTTTAAAAACGGTTAAAAACTAAATGAGGTGATTGAAATAAATGGATGTAAATCGTATATAAAATGTGAGTTTACTACAGCCTAATTTATTAATTTTACAACTGTTTACTATAAGTTGTTTCAACAAATGCATTAACAACTTGATATTCACGATGCAAATAAGAAAGACATTACTTGGGAACATTAAAAGTGAAAATAATAGAAAAGGGTTAGAAGTTCCGAAGAATCTGGAAGTGTCATATACATTCATGCTCAAGGGACCCAAATGTTATGGGAGTATGTGGCTATGTGCTATGCTCTATCGAACTTTCTGGTGATGTTTTTGGTAAGAGTATAATTATTAGACAACTCCAAAGACTCATAAATTGTGATGGTCACGTGGAGGATGTGAGCCAACGCTTGCTGTGATCCGGAGAGGTAGCAAAATGTGTTGTGAAAATTTAGAATCCATCGTTTTATGTTAAAGGGTGATAATAAATGGTAGAGAAAATAGCTTAGATAGCTATCATTTGATCATATATCTGAGAAAAATAAAGTGAATGACTATTGAATTTTATGGATGATTATATTTATTTTTATTATTTTTTGTTCTTTTTTTCAGTGTTTTTGTGAAAATTGGAGTCCCAAAATATTTTTCTATAACAAATGAATTAGTTTTTTTTTTGACAAATTGTATTTTTTCACATGTTATTTGAACTTAAAAAATGAAAACTATAACTGAGAGAGAAATATGTTATTCTATCTCTATACTATTAAAGAGAAGTACAAATGAAAATAGGTCGGGTTAAAATCAGAAAATTGACCCGAAATTCTGAAATCGGATCTTTGAATTTTTTTTGGAATATAAATTCGAATTAATAATGAAAAATGAAATATTTATGGAAATCAAATAAAATCTGATTGTACTTATGGCAACTAATTATAAAAGCATATTCCGAACAATATTATACATTAATTACGTATAATAAATTTTTTCATATATTTTTGGAACTAATTCGATAACAATCAACGTTTTTATCATTAATTTCGCTCATTTTAGCCAATTATCATTACTTGAAAGATATCTTACTTGCTTCTAAAGATTTCTAGAAAATTTATCACACATAAGTAATACCCCATCTGTTTTATAAATTAAATAGATATTTTTATTTTGGTCGTGTACATTAAATAGATATAAAATCCATATAACTAATTTTAATTTAATTAGATTAAATCGAAATTATCGTATTTTCATACCTATAGCTTACCAAAGAAGTTTAATTTTCAATTTATAAAGATTTATTGAATATGATTTTAGAATTATTCAACAAGATGATAAGTATTTATTAAATTTTGTGAATCATGAAAAATAATAACTAATTTTTAATCATTATATTTCATCTTTCAATCTCTCACCTAAGAAATAAGATACATATTCTATTATTCCTATGTCCAAAACTTCATTTTGTTATATGACTAAATAATATTCTCATTAGAGCTGTCAAAGCGAGTTGATTCGTCCCGTTAAGCCCGTTTGCGATAGGCAAAAAATATTTTGACTTGTAGTTGTCGGTCCGCACGATCCGCGGGTAGCATATATGAAATACAAACCCGTCCCGCGAATGTATGCGGATTTGCGGGATTGTCCGTGGATTTTGTTTAAATAGTTTTAAAGTAACCAAAATTTAAAATACTATTAAAATAAATAAATAAATAAAAATACTATTATAGTTTGTTTAAATTACCACATGTTGAATAAATTATAATTTTATCCATAAATACTAACATGCGGGCTGATCCACCAATCCGCGGATGAAAACCGATTAAACCTATGACCCACTGCGAATTAATCCATGTGGTCCGCTTATTCGCGTGTTTAATATATTTTCCCAAATCTACCCCATAGTAAGATGATTTGGGCTCGACCCGCTGTTTTTGACCTATTTTGACTGCTCTAATTCCTATGAATCGTCTAATTTTAGAATTTTAAAACACAAAATTCTATTTTGTAAATCATAATTAATACGATTGGTTTATTTATAAAAATTTTAACATTTTCTCTACAATTCGTTATTATGAATATTTATAAGTATACTACACGATTCGCTCTACTAAAAACACACAATATTAAACTCAACGTATGTAAACCAATATTCCCCCGCAGTGGACCGCAGGTCCGATCCTAGTTTCATAAGAATATGTTAGTCTATTTTTTTTTAAATGGCCACAAAAATACAAACTTTAAAAATTAGCCAAAAACTGCTCAAACCTTCTCATTAAAAATTTCAAATCCCGAAATTTCTAAAATATAAAATAAGTAATGCATCTGTTTTTTTTTTACATTAATAATGTTTAAGTACTAGAATTTAACCCGCGGTACACCGCGGGGCTATATTTTTCTAATAAATATAATGTTATTTTTTAAAAGATTAACTAAAGATATATCATATTAGTTTGTATTTTTAAATATAGATATCTATCTATGTATTATTTAGTGTATGATTACTATTGTTTAGGTTTTAATTTTTGAAGTATAGATACGAAAACATATATTTTTTTAAGTAACGATGTATGGTCAATTTTATAATTTTGAATATTTTACTCCGCTGTATACCGTGGGTCAATTTTTTTATAACTAAAATTTTTAAATTTTAAGTTGTATTTGTTTTGTAAATATTGTATGCTTTGTTTTGTGTTTAAGGTTATATAATTGTATTTTGATTGTTAATTTTAGGATTTCATCCGTGATATACCGTTCTTTATTAATATCGACCCAAACCCGTCATCCCATATAAGCCCGTCTATATTATCCCGTTAGCTAAATTATTAGTGTTATAAAATCTAAGAAAATAAATTATTATTGTTATAAAATCCAATAATTTTAGGATCTCACCCGTTGTATACTGTTCACTAAATGATTTAAAACTTCTACTACTAATATATATTTATAATTTTCTATGTGAATATTTTGATCATTATAAATTAATAGTTTTATTGTTATGCAAAATGTTAATATAAATATTTGCTATAAATCGGTTTTATGCATTTTTTTGGAGTAAAATTCATGGAATTTTTTTTTGAAGATATATGAAAAGATTGTGTAGAGATTTTTAGAAACAAATTAGGCAAGATATCGTTTGGTTAATATCTTTTATTTAAATTTTGTAAAATTAAATAATAAATGTCAATGGCATAAACTCGTAAATAAGGTGGAACTCCAGGATTTATTTGGTAAAGATACTCCAAAAATGTATATATAGATGTTGGTCTCGGATCAAATTGAATCGGATGGGTATAATTTTTTTTTTTAATAGATATTCAATTTCAGGATATTTTGATCCTTTTTTTTGTCAACCATATTTTTTTTTTTGGTAGAATTTGTCAACCATATTTGATCCATTCAATTCAATTATATTAGAAAGTAACAGAGTTAAACACTATTAATAGAAAAATAAGTTTTTTTTTTTGAAAATAAACACTATCCACAAGAAACTTTTAATATAGCGGAAAGTCATGTTTATGCTTTGACTCAGGAGCAAGCGGAGAAGTTTAGAGAGTCCTACTCTATCGTACCATCAGATATGAGATTAAATAGAAGATATAGTTTTTTTCTAATGGATCATGAAAAGATCATGATTCATTTTTAGGTTTAAGATGGTATTACTCTAAGTTAAATGACCAGAAACAATTATGGGAGTTTGTAATGTATATGTCACCACTTCACAATGAGTTGGAAGTATTAGTATGGGCAATGAGATACCTGATTACTAACCAGAATACCGATATTATTTTTATTACAGATTATTCCGAACTAGTAAATCTTTATATCAATAGAATGGCCGACCTTCAAAATTTTATCAGAGGATATAGAGAAGAGTAAGGAAACCTTCACAATTTGTTTTCTCCTTATATCTAATTTTTCGTAATACTAATATGAAATCGAATAAGCTAGCACGAAATATCCATATTTACCCGCATTTTATTCCACTAGTTATATTTTGGAACTTCTCAAATCTCAATTAATATATTTGGTGTTTTGAATTTATATTATTTACGTAGATTACAAAGATTTTTTTTTTTGGGTTAATTTTGATGTTTTTATTATATTATTTGGGACCATTTGTCAATGTAACCGAATATTATTATATTGGTGAAAAATAAAAACACACAAATTTCAAAAACTCAGACCCAGCTTCTGGTTTCGCTTCGCCGTCGTGTACGATTTGTAACACGACTGTGCGATTTGTAGCTGGAGGAACCGAAGGTCAGTGATCACTTAGGGTTTATTGGATGATACTAAATCAAAGCGTTAGGCTAATTTTTCTAATCCGATTGCTTTAGGTTAATTTTTCGAAGGTCAGTAATGAGTTAGGGTTTATTGGATTTGAGGTTTCAGATTTGGGGTTAATTTCTCTGCAAGGTGACGAGAAAATCCTATATTCACTTCTCAAGATTTATTCTCTGAAGATATAAAGTCTTAATCTTTGGATAAGAAATGTTCAAATGGAAAATTGAAAACTTTTCTTCAGTTGAATGAATGATTGAGCTGAAGAAGTTAAAAGCTAGAATGGGCAAAGTTCATTGTCATGGGGTCCCTAGAATATTCGAATTTATGATCCTTTTGTTGTAAAATATTAGTCAAGTTGAGAGATATTTTACATTTTGTGGTCACTAATGATGTATTATTGGAGTTAACCATCCAATACCATCATGGTTGCTTCTAAACTCACTTTAACTTGAGAGAGATTATCTGGATATCAATCTATCATGAGGGAAGAGACAGTTTCTTGGAAGTACTTTAAAAGAGATGTTGTTCCGTTCGCTGCGATGATCGCGGTGGAGTGTACAACGGTTGGATCGAGTACACTGTATAAAGCTGCTACCTTAAGAGGATTTAGCTTTTATGTCTTTGTGTTTTACTCTTATGTTGGTGCTTCACTTGTTCTTCTTCTACTTTCCCTCATCTTTGGAAGGTACTTGATATTCTTGAGAAACTATGACTCTTTCCCTGTTTTAAGAATATGAACTTACTTATTTTACATATGCAGGTCAAGAAGTTTACCTACAGCCAAGTCTCCTCTCTTCTTCAAGATCTTCTTACTTGCGCTTCTCGGGTAATAATATATTCATGTTTCTAGATATATGAGCATTTTTTCGGTCTTTTTCTTTTTCTTTTCTAGTTTGCTAACTTGGGGGAAAAAAACAGGCTCACGTCGAAGGTAGCTGGTTGTAAAGGTATAGAATATAGTTCCCCAACTCTTTCCTCTGCTATCAGCAATCTTACACCAGCTTTCACCTTCATGCTTGCCGTCTTCTTCAGGTTCCACTTTCTCCTAAACCGGGTGATTCCACACTAACTGTCAATATGAAATGATACCAAAAATAGATTAATTTTCTTGCCATTAACTGTGAATTATAGAGTAGTTGTACAAGTAGAACCTTGCGGTAATGTTGGACCATCAATTCTTTTATGAGAAATGTTGGATAATTAGGTGACTCTAACTTAGGTGACTTGTTCTGCTTCCTTGGGTGACTTGTAAAGGATGGAACAAGTAGTGTTAAGAAGCTCTGCAACTCAGGCTAAAATCATTGGCACAATAGTCTCTATATCTGGCGCTCTGGTTATTGTTCTGTATAAGGGCCCAAAACTTCTTGTTGCTGCATCGTTTACTTCGTTCGAGTCTAGTTGGATAATTGGAGGCCTTTTGCTCGGTCTGCAATTCTTGCTTCTTTCAGTCTGGTTTATTCTTCAGGTAGTACATAAACTTGAACAGGTTCATGAAATTTTGGGTTTGTTGGTAACACATAAGATTGAGCTAAACTCGTAAGCTGTACATGATTTCAGACTCATATCATGGAGATATACCCTGAAGAAATAGCCGTAGTCTTCTGCTACAACTTATGCGCAACGCTAATCTCAGGGACAGTATGTCTAATTGCAGAAAAAGACTTGAATTCCTGGCAGCTCAAACCGGGTTTCTCCCTCGCTTCAGTCATATACTCGGTGAGAAATTAAACCTTATAAGTTAAATAATCAAATCTGTAGCTCAGACAGTAACACTCTGTTTCAGGGACTCTTTGATACATCATTGGGCTCAGTCATCCACACATGGGGTCTGCATGTGAAGGGTCCGGTCTACGTATCCTTGTTCAAGCCATTGTCTATTGCAATTGCAGTCGCCATGACTGCTATATTCCTCGGCGATTCACTTCACCTTGGGAGGTACCATATCTTTCATCTTCTTACATTCAAGTGTAGTGTTTCTTTCTTTAAAAACATAACTGATAACAAGATAGTTCTAGGGTGTTGAAACATTTACATTTAGTTTCATCTTCAATTCCATGATGCTTAATACAATGACTAATGAATCCAACTTAGCCTTCCCAATGTCTTTGAAATATATAGACAGTAACAGTCAATATAGATTTTCGGTTGTTGGGTAATAAGATTTACGTGATTGGTACATATGATTTTGCATTTATGTATTGTGGGCAGTGTGATTGGATCAGTAATATTGAGCTTTGGGTTTTACACTGTGATTTGGGGCAAAGCAAGAGAGGATGCAACTAAAACAGTAAGTGATTCTGAGCAGTCACTTTTATTGCCTACACACGAGTAAACCTTCTCATGAAGATATGTCGGAGACAAGTGAAAATATTTTTCTTATTTGTTCATAATTATGGTCCCATTAGAAAATGAATCCTTATTTATCTTGTAAGTTGTATGTATATAATCTAACATGATACATTTTTTACTTAGTTGTATGTACATAGTCGTGAAAAATGATTTACTTATTTGTTGAGAAAATAAAAATATCCCTTATATATTAATAGAAAAACACTCTAAAAAATAAACCTTACTTTGACGCGTTATTAACTAAACTGCTATACTGACGTGTCGCTCTCAGAATGATTTTCCACCCATTTAAATTATTACCCAAATTTTACTTGACTATTTACAGATTTTGCCATTATTCTTAATACATATATATATCACACAAATAAAAAAAAACGAAATTATAACTAAAAAGCAAATAATTAGACAACTAATCTTCATATTTATATTTAACAACAAATTACAAGAGCTTTGTTTATTTATATTAATGATCTATTTTTTAATAATAAAAACATACACTTTTGTTTATCTTATATTAATAAATCTTTATTTTTTTATTTTTCTTTATATACATTTATATAAATCTTCTCAAGCGGATGGGTAAACAATCTTTGTATTTATATTTATATTTAAATGATAAAATATATAAATTTGGTTCAAGAATTTCGAATTCAAAACTACAAAATCTCTACATCTTTCATAAATTTTTATATCTATTATACTTAAATCAATAAGATAATCTCTTTTCTATATATGTTACGAATACTTCAAATCCGATTTTTTTGGAGGGATTCTAACTTTTCGAAGAAAAACTAACCATATTTATATATAAACCAAAATCTGGTCACATTATAACCATTTCGTAGTAATCCATTCATTATCTAAGAATCCTAATTTGGAACACTACAAAATCTTAACTTGAAAATTATCAAATCTCATCTTTGATAATTTTTTGGATTTCTTATACTTAAATCTCAACATCTTTTTTTTTTTTCATCATTCTCGACATCTTTTAAACATACAGAAAGACATATTTTCATAAATGGTAACATTTCGTCAATACTTTCTTTATCACGTTGAAGCTTTATTGCAAGTTCAAATATTTCCCGGGTAAAACGTATTCTTATATGAAATAGTCTCAAATTTGAATAAAAAAAATATTACATGTTTTGTTTTACACAAACGGATCTAGGATCCCGGATAATAATTTTACTTAAATCACTTCATCTTGCACATAGTGCGGGTTGTTATCTAGTTTCTTATTTATTCAACTATTATATAGAATTAGAGAGGAATTCAGTGTTAGATTTCAATTCTATTAAAATCCATCATGGAATAACACCGCCTTATTTACTTTATAATAGGCGCAAAATCCAGTTATGTTTGGACTTTCGGTTTGATTGCAATTTGAATCCGGTTTTGTATCAAATTTAACGAAAATCGTTTGAAATTAACAAACATGTGGTTAAAACTCGAATTTCAAATTATGTGGGGATATACAATTATACATTGTTAAAGTTTTCTAGAACCCGAAAATCAAACTTTAATTGCATAATGCTTTAATTAAAAACATTCCCAAAGCATTTGGAAAAATGATCTTTTATTTCATTGTCACTTATCGGTCCAACGAATTATAGTCCTATCCATTCATAGATCACAAATTTGGCTTACCCAAATCAATACCACACATTATGTCATGTCACTTAACACAAAAAGACAAACCATACGTGACCACATTTTTCTTTATACACCTTCACGTCTATCAAATTCAATCATATCAACATTACATAACCGAACCGGAATTAACCCCAAACCGGGATTGTATTTCCAATAACACAATAGAAATTAGGGTTGAAAACTTGAAATAATGACATTCATTAGATTTTTTGTAATAAAACGAATCTCGATCGATGGATATGTTTGGTTTAGATTCCAATTTCGGTTTAAAACTTATACCGGATTATACCGTAACATAACCGAATACGTATATGATGAACTCGTAAGGTACAAAAAAAATAAAACGATAAAAACTGAAAAAGATAATTAAAGAAAAAAGACACAGAAAACGAGAAATGTCAGAGGTAGAAGAAGAAGAAGAAGGATCAACAAATGCAATTACAGGTTCGAGAAGTTTCGATCTTCCCGACGAACTTCTTCAAGTTCTACCGTCCGATCCATTCGAGCAACTCGATGTAGCTCGTAAAATCACATCCATTGCTCTCTCGACACGTGTCTCTGCTCTCGAATCAGAGTCGTCGGATCTCCGGGAACTTCTCGCCGAGAGAGATAAAGAAATCGCCGAGCTACAATCTCACGTTGAGTCACTTGACGCTTCTCTCTCCGATGCGTTTCATAAGCTTTCTCTTGCTGATGGTGAAAAGGTCCGACCCGGTTTTGACTTTTTTGACCCGATTCGTTTTACGGGTTTTGATCAAATCTCGTATTCGAAATTTGCAGGAGAATTTGATTAGAGAGAATGCTTCGTTGTCTAATACTGTGAAGAGACTTCAGAGAGATGTCTCTAAGGTAGTTTTGACTCAATTTGGAATTTGACTTTAAGTCTCTTTGTTTCTAAGTTTGGAAGTAGCTGAGATTTTAGGGATTTTGGAGATATTGATGAATTTGTGTGCAGCTTGAGGGTTTTAGGAAGACACTTATGATGTCTCTTCAAGATGATGACCAAAATGTATGAAACTTATTTACTCTTCATGTTCTTCAATTTACTTTGGAGAAGTAACAAATTCATAATCTTGAATTGATTGTGTTTGGGGTTTTTTAACAGGCAGGAACAACACAAATCATCGCTAAGCCGACACCAAACGGTATAGTTCTTGTGAAGATGTTAGTGAAATCTTGTATTCATTAACCAAATGGATGGTCTTTTTTCATTTTTCAGATGATGATACTCCATTTCAACCTTCAAGACATTCATCAATCCAATCTCAAGCTTCTGAAGCTATTGAGCCAGCTACCACTGACAACGAAAACGATGGTATACTGTAGTAAATCTCAATTCTTAAGCCACTAAACCTTTTGTTTGTGTGTGTTTAATGCTTAAGTTTGTTTTTTGTTATATCGTAGCTCCTAAACCGAGTTTATCAGCCAGTTTTCCTTTAGTATCGCAAACTACTACGCCACGGCTTACTCCTCCTGGTTCTCCACCAATCTTATCCGCTTCTGGTACCCCGAAAACAACATCGAGACCTCTCTCTCCTCGACGCCATTCTGTATCATTTGCTACCACTAGAGGCATGTTTGATGATACTAGATCTTCTATTTCAATCTCAGAGCCTGGATCACAGACCAGTAAGTTAAGACCAGGATTTTCTTGTGGCTGGTTTGTAAACAAGACAATTATTAATGGTTTGTTTGTTATCTGTGTATTCAGCAAGAACTCGGGTTGACGGAAAAGAGTTCTTCCGACAAGTCAGGTAAAAAGAAGTTCTTACAAAAAAACTCTCTATAGCATTGTCTGTAACACATCCTACATCTTGTTATTGAATCTTGATCAGGAGCCGATTATCTTACGAGCAATTTGGTGCATTTCTTGGAAATGTGAAGGATCTTAACGCTCACAAGCAAACAAGAGAAGTAAGGAGAATCCTCTCTCAATCATCCTACCGTTTTTCGATTCAAAACTCGGATTTTGAATTGACCTGCAATGTCTTTTTTTCTTTGTTTTCCAGGAAACGCTTAGGAAAGCTGAAGAGATATTTGGAGGCGATAACAGAGATCTCTACGTCATATTCGAGGGCTTGATCACTCGCAACGCTCATTGAGAGTTTGGATTCTTCGATTACACAAAGAAATTATACACTCGGAAACTCAGGATTCAGCTGCAGCATTCAATTTCTTTTGTTTTCTTGGCCGTCAAGTAAGACCAAGTGAAACTGACAATTTGATTGTATCATTTGTGCCTCTCTTGTATCTATCTATCTATCTCTCACTTCTTGAATAAATTTCATTTCATCATCTTCAAGAATCAAAACCAACCAATCAATATCCAAAATACTGTATTGTGTAAACATTGAAATAGAGCAAAAACGAACAAAAAAACAGAGTGTTGTTATAATTTCTGATACCAAATCACATGTGCTCATCGGCAAAAGCTTTGATATGATTAAAGGAAGAGCCTCCTTCTCTCACCGCCTCCGCCGCTAAATCCCTCCACCTCGCCGCATTTCCTCTAAACTCCTCCGCCTTCTCTTCCATAACTTCCTCAATGCACCGCCGTATCTCCTCACTATCCACCACCACAGCTCCGTCCTCTTCCTTCTTCTCCATCACTCTCACACCTGTCTTCCAACAATCTTCCAAAAGCTTCGCGTTCGTCATCTGATCATTCCACTGCGGAAATGCCACCACGGGAACTCCCGAGACCAAGCTCTCCAACGTCGAGTTCCACCCGCAATGCGTCACGAAACATCCTATCGATCTATGATTCAAAACCCTAAACTGATCGCACCAAGAAACCACCATTCCTATCTCATCAAGCTCTTCTCTGAAACTCTTTATGCAATCTTCTTCTTTCTCTTGCTCATCTTCTTTACTTCTATACGACTTGTCCGTAATCACCCACAAGAACGGTCTCCGACTCTGTATCAACGCTTTACAAAGCTCCACAAGCTGTTTCTTGGTCAACACGGCAAGCGTCCCGAACGAAACGTAAAGCACAGACGAATCCGCTTTTGTATCCAACCACTCTATGTATTCACCGTGACTCGATGAATCGGTTCTCAACGTTAATAACGGACCAACGGGAACAATCTTGAAATTATCTGGAACCGAGCTCATGGCTTCTGGTTCAAGCTCTTGGAAAGTGTTGATGAGGATCTTAGGGTTTGCTTCTTCCTTCAGTGAATCAATCTGTTCTCGAAAAGCCGGTAGAAGAAACGCGTAGACACTGGAAGAGACCATGAATGAAGGAAGATCACGGAGACTGAGTAGTGGCAGAGAAGGTAATTTAATAGAACTAGAGGGGTTATTAGCCATCTCTGAGATTGCTTCTTCGTAGCCGTTGAAGTAGTGGTAAAAAATGGAGAAGACTGTTACAGGTTGGACCCAAAGAAGAGCTGAAGGAAGGTGAAACTCACGCGCTAGCTCAGCGACCCAAGTGAGGAGAATCGTGTAAACCACGCAAGTGAAAGGCCGGTTTTGATTCCGGTTATCTTCGATTAGTTCGGTTAGTGTCT